TCCTTTTTGGTCCAAAGTGGTAATGGCGCTGCGCAGGCCGATAGGTACAGAGTTGATAGGCATGACAGGGCCAGCAACTCGCGAATAGTCTTTGGCTTCGTTCGAGAAATATTGCCTGTCGCTTTAGGGTGAATGTGGAGCCAAAACCCTTCTGGTAGGCCCACTTCATCCGACTGCGCGTACTTGAGATAACCCACTGCTCCCTTAACCAAGCCGTCAGACACGCCAATGTTGAAGGTAAGCATGTATGGCTTTACTGAACTTAGCACAAGTTTTCGCGGCAGGTTCTCAGCCTAAGCAGCGCTAAGGAAGTGTAACCGACGCTTCGCACTCTCAGAGTCCGCGCCATTATGGTATCTCTCCCTGGACGGATTTAGTTTTGCATCCGCAGCACTCATACAAGTGCAGCTTGCTAGCTATTTTCAATGACAGGTTACGTCCGTATGGCAGCTGTGGACGCGCAAGTAAATCTGTCTGTTGGCTTCGTGAATAGCCTCTACCTTCGCGACAGCGTCCGGCATATTGTACGTATCGGCTTCTTTTTCGAATAGAATAGCCTGGCGCCGTGAGGACAGTAGAGGTTTGCGTCATCCTTGAAGTGGAAGCGAGCTTGAAGCATCCGAACGGTTTCCTGTTAAAGCACGTGACCATTGCCGAATTTACACAATATACTGGAAAGCTTTGTCGCTCCGCCGGACGGCTTACGCAAGCGGAAAGTAGGAGAGGTGGCAACAAGTGACGTGAGTGTTATAGATGTTGGCACGTGTCCTAGTGCGTTTGTGCACCTTGCTGGCATGAACGGTGGGCAACTGGCGCAAGTCACCGCGCATGATGCAATCCAAGCTACCGAAAAGGTCAATTTCGTTTGCACTTATCTGTCGCAGACATTCGTGCACACGTGAAAAAGTGTCGCTGCTCATCATGCTACATTCGTCTACGATGACCCATTTTACGTTGTCGAACGCTGCACGGAAAGATTTGAGGACATGGTTAAGGTAAGGCAAGAAATGGTTGTCATGTTAAACTCCCTGGGCGTAACCTCGTTGGTTTTATTTTAGCAAGGTTTAGCCAGGATTGGTCCGTAGTTCCAAGAACTAGCGAAGGAGAAGGTGGGAAGTAGGCACGAAGCGCTGGCCTTAAGAGAGTGCGCGTGAAGTCCCTCAAGTCCGGCAGTGCTACCTCTCGTTAATTCCTTGATATACCGGCTGAATGGCGGTACTTCTATATGATGAATATATGAGAAAAGGATGCGAGATGGCAGTGCTTGGAGTATTCACTAGATGGACGAGCTGATGGACAGACAGACAGATGCATGGACGCACAGACAAACGCACGGTCGCGTGGATGGACGCGCAAAACGACGGATGGACGCATCGATGGACAGACGGACGGACGCACGGACCGTCGCACAGATGGAAGCATGGACGTACGGAAGCAAGAACGAACGGACAGATGGCAGCGCGGACGAAGTGACGGATGCTTTACCCCACTCATCAACATGCACTCCGTGGATATGCTGTGATTTTTTTTGTGCGTTGAGAGTGCAGCTCATAGAAACTTCCACTTGCTGTGGGGGCACAGGACACTCGTTGATTGTTGCCGTGACAGCGCGGCAACCATGAGTGCCCCCCAACCCTTTTTCGCTCACGAGATAAACACGTGTATGTGACTCCAGCTAAAAAACGATGTTCACTACGCAGAAAAGGAGGCTGCTTTTCCTTCCCCAATCACCTAAAACATTAATATACGTTTAAGATGGCGGCATCGACGGTAGAAAACGAGCTGAGACTGTCCATATAATTTCTATCAAAATAATATAGTGACCAGATAGGCTCTGCGCAGGCATTGTAGAAGAGGCAGTGCCCCATAAGGAAACAACAAATAAGTAGGAAGTAATTGGCTTTGTGCCAATGGAAGTTAACGCTGAAACTGTTTTTTAATATCTATTAACAATATAGGCATTAACAGAAATACTTACCAGAGTGCTTTTTTTACCTTTCTCGAAGTAACGATCACACTTTCGAAATTTCTGGATACCAGCCCCGGACGTGCAAATTCGCTAATTATATTTTTATCCAAAATGTGTAGAAGGGACCAAGGTTTTTAAAAAACACGTGGTGAAAATGAGAGCTTATTTGTACCTTTGTTGTCGATCTCCCTGCAGTTCAGCCAAAAGGCGTTGTGGGCTAATATCTTGAATAAGAAATAAAAAAAATCCCTGCCCAAGCACTACGTACAAACGGCTAACCAGCAAAAGCTGAAACGTGTGAACCCGATGTTTAGCAGTGGGTTTATTCGACGCTGCACTGTCCATACTTCTTATTGAGGATAGGGACATGCTTGGCCGGGGTTTACTACAGGGCTTATTTAACATACCGCACATATTGCCTCGCATATTCACAGTCATGGCAGAGTGCAGTGAGAGGTCAAATGCTTTTCGCTATCTGGTAATCAAACTGGTTGTTCTCGAACCACAGTTTGTCACAGACGTCGCAACCGAATCCGACTCCCCGCATAAATATTGGCAGAACCCACGTACTTTGGGAATCAAAGTTGTGCGAAGCAAAATGACAAAGGTCTATAGGTCACTTTAAAATTAGCCAAATGTTAAGTGGACATTATTTAGCTGTACATGACTTCAATGCCGTGATTATGTTTTTATGTGTCATTTACCATCGTCGTACGGTCACGTCACATAATACCAAATTTCGTATATGTGGAGCTAGCAAAACGGCCGTGAGCACGCTAACAGCGTAGCATGTAGTCATGTTTCATATTGTACGCATATCACAACTATTAGGTTTAGACATGTCATTTACTTTCGTCGCCTATTCACGTCACGTGAAACCAACTTTTGTATAGGTGGAGCTAGCAAAACGGCTGCGAGCTCGCTATGAGCCTAGCATGTAGTCATGTTTGAGGCATTGTAAGATATGTACCGCAACCTACTCTCGCGCAAATACTCACACATGAACACGAGTTACACACACGACATTCAACGCTGTTTTACATGATGATTATTATGTAAGGACGTGTCGTTAATTTTCGTCGTTCATTCATGTCTGTTAATACCAAAGTTGGTATATGTAGGGCCAGCTAAACGGCCGCGAGAACGCTATGAGAGTAGCAAGTAGCATATTTTACACGACACTCAGGTCATCATTATTGTGTTTGCACCAGTTATATACAATCGCCATTCATTGACGTCACGCAACACCAAATTTGGTATACGTGAATCTAGCGAAATGGCTGCGAGTGTATTATGAGCGTGGCCCGTTGTCGTGTTCTCATACGACACGCATATCATGATTAGCATGTGTGCACCAGTCATGTATCTTCATCATTTCTTCAAGTCACGTGGTAACAAATTTGTATATGTGTAGCTAGCGAAACAGCCACAAGCCGCTATGAGCGTAGCATGTTTCGCATCACCCTCATGTCAAGATTATCCCGTGTTGACGTGTCATTTACGTTTGTCCTCCATTTACATCAAGCAATACCAAACTTTGTAGATAAGGAGCTAGAGAAACAGCCAAGAGCACACCATGAACGTGGCGTGTAGTCATGACTAGTCATAACAGGGAAATCATGACACGCATGTCATGATTTCTACGTTATGGCCTTTCACTTACGTTTGCTATGCAGTGATGTCACACCATACCAGTTTTTTTAAATGTCATGTGAACGAAACCACCGCAAAAGCAGTAAGACCATAAAATGTAAATCATGTAATTCTTGACATACATCTTCATGTTCTCACTAGTCAAATATGCTCGTCATACATTCATGTTAATGCATAACAATTATCATATTGATACATTTATAAATGGCTAGGAAAGCTAAAAGTCATGAGCGGCTAGCTAGCTAGTTGGATAGATAGATAGATAGATAGATAGATAGATAGATAGATAGATAGATAGATAGATAGATAGATAGATAGATAGATAGATAGATAGATAGATAGATAGATAGATAGATAGATAGATAGATAGATAGATAGAAACGCTCAAAGTCACCGAAGTTCGCTAAGAAATGCTTTGCATTTATAAAAGTCCCACTAAAAGTTCGCGTTCGCCCAGGCGAACGCGCTCTGCGGGCGTAGCTAGGGGATGGCACACCGGGCACGTGCACTTCCCAAAATTTATTTTCGCCACGGCATAGAGAGCAATAAATGGTGAATTTAAGGGGTGCCCCTCCCGAAATCAAGGGGGTGCTCCCCCTCCCAAGAATAAATTTCTGGCTACGCGCCTGACGCCCGCCCACAATTTTCATGTTCGAGCAGCAACGCCACTTCCCCGTAGGCACTCAGCCGTGTCGACAAAAGGCTCAAAGAAATTAGAGAGCTTTTTAGCTTCTTCGAAAACAACCCATTTGTTGTGTGGCGCGCCTAAATTGCAAACGTTTGGAATCACGAGCTCATTCGATGGTGTGATTTGCAGGATACTCCCGTCACAGACGCCTGTATTAACGTTGACGATTTAGCGCGGCCAGGAAGGCTGCCATATCTTCGTCACACAGTTGCTGCCGCCACTCAGCCTTCCGGGCCTATTTTTCTTCCAAGACTTGACCATTGGTCCGGCCAATGCGAGCTGTCTGACGTTTACCTGTGGGCACTCTTCTATAGCGGTCCATAGAATGCATGTGGAAGGTTATAGGAGAAACTTGTGCGCGGGTCTTTAGCATGTTTGCGACAAGATGGAGCACGTCACTTACAATGCAGCCAATGGCTCGTGTTCTTAGTTGCGGCCCTGAGAATGACGTAACTAATAAAAGGGCCAATAGAGACCAATGGAGACACTGCTGCTGAGCAGTTTTCATCTCTCTATTCTACATATATAATTTTTTTTCTGTAAAACCTTGAACAACATCGTGCCTGAGACAATTGGAAAACCGTATTCAAGACTTGCAGGAGGGGAGAAATATTCCACATTTCAAATAAATTTGTGTGCTTCACTATCATTTTATGAGCATAAATGATAACCGTTCTTCTATTTTTGCAGATCCAATCGTATTTTGATGGCAACAAAGTAAGTATGACGAAAACATTCAAGTGCGACAACAATGATAGAAACACTGTGCCTGGTTTTTTTTTTTCCAACATCCCCGTCTCTTTCAGTTTTCGTAGGCCCTACAGATCAAGGGTTCTAATCCCACGCGCGGCTACCACATTTTCGATGGATGTGAAAATGCTTGATGCTCATACACTTATAATTAGGTACACGTTAAACAGCTTCAGTAGTGAAAACTTCCGCATCCCTCTGCTACAGCTTGAATATCTCTTTGCTAGAAGACGGTTTGAGGTCCGTAAAGACCAACCAAAAATTGGCAGAACCCATGTATAGTGGAAATGAGTGATATGCGCAGCACGAATGATGATGGTTGCTATATCACTTCAAAATTAGCATAACGTTACGAGGAGGATGTAAATCTTGCGGTACTTGAATTCCCTGTCATAATTCTCATCGTTGGACGTGTCATTTACCTTCGCGGTCTATTCACGTCATATGACACCAAGTTTGATATACGTAGAGATATTAAGAGGACCGTGAGCGCGATATGAGCGCAGCATGCAGTCACGTTGTTCATGACATGCGTGTCATGATTATCATTATCGCACGTATCATTTGCCTTCGTACTGTATTCAATTCACGGAATATGAAGTTTGGTATATGCGGAGTAGGCGAAACAGCAGCGAGCGCACCTTGAGTATCATGTAGTCATGTTTTACATGACACTCATCACACGATTATTATATTTCAACCAGTCATATAACTTTGTCGTCCAGTAACGTCCTAATATAAGAAATTTGGTATATGCGAAGCTAATGAAGCAACAGCGAGCGCACCAAGAGCGTGGCGTCTAGTCATAAGTTACATGACATGCATGTCACAATTTTCACGTTAGGCTCTGTAACTTATGCTCGCTATTCAGTCATGTCGTACCATACCAGAGTATAAATATGTCATATGAACGAAAGTGCCACAAGAGCAGCAAAACAATGAAATCTAATTCAATGCAGTTAGATGGGCCAGCGTAAGGGTAAGTTGGTTGTACATGGTTGACACTCATGACACGACGCGAGTGGGTGTCCTACCTGTGTCTCAGTGTGTTTTTTCGTGTCCAATTTTGTCACTTCGCGAGTGTCAACTAAAACATGACGCTCACGACATGCATGCCACGACTTTCTTGTTAAAACTAGCCAGTTATGCTCGTTGTACAGTCATGTTATCACATACCAATTTTGGTATTGATATCATTACCAAAATGGTTAGGAGACCTAAAAGTCATAGACGGCTAGATAGATAGATAGATAGATAGATAGATAGATAGATAGATAGATAGATAGATAGATAGATAGATAGATAGATAGATAGATAGATAGATAGATAGATAGATAGATAGATAGATAGATAGATAGATAGATAGATAGATAGATAGATAGATACGCTCAATTCGCCGATGTTATCTTAGAGATGCCTGGCATTTACTATTAGCTTTCGTACATAGTTTTAATAGATAACATAACCTCGACACCTTACACACCCTCAAGTAAAAGTTTACGAGGACTAAGGATGAACGCTGTAAACAATCACAGCATATCCATGGAGTGAATGATGACGAGTGGGGCGAAGCGTCCGTGATCCCGTCCATGCTTCCGTCCTTCCGTTCGTTCTTGCTTTCGTCTGTCCGCGCGAACATCTGTGCGCCAATACATGCGTCCGTCCGTCTTTTCGTGCATCCTTTCGTGAGTCCGTCCATCCATCTGCCTCTCTTTTTGTCCGTGCGCCCATGCATCCGTACGTCCGCGCGTCATACAATCCGCCCCCATCCGTCTGCTAGTTTGTTTGTCCATCCGTCTGTTTGTGCGTCCATTTAGTGAACACTCCAAGTACCGCCTTCTCCCATCTCGCATTCACTGTGGCACATACCCGCTCTAGAACGCGTATGTGCCACCGGTGGCAACGTATTACTACATACATACAAGGGATTGATAGAACCCCGCCTTAAAGGAGCACTGACATCAAATTTCAAGATCGAGATGTGCCCATAATTTCGATCGCTTGGTATTTATAGGTCTTCTCTGCCCAATTTGAGTGGAATTGGTAGGGCGGAAGTTATTTTTGAAATCAATATGAAACAACGTAGAACAGCGAAAGAGAAAAAACGAAAAGTAGACTCCCTGCGACATTGACACTACTGCTACTTGTTCGGTGTGATACGTTCCACCATTCTATTCTGAGTTACGATACGCTAATAACATTGACGTCGACGATCTGAGCGTGTTTGGAGCCGACTCCCGGCCATGCTCTCACTAATGGCTCTCCTTGCTGTGGGTAAGCGTGCGTGCGATTCATCGTGACGCTTCGACTGATTTGGCTTGTGCTCCACAGCGTGAGTATGATCGTTCAGAGTGACAATGCGTGCTAGAATGTCGGGGAACCGCTGCGCAGTGAGAACCTGCACGTCGAGGTGCGGAAAAAGCGGAAAACGCGTGGCGTTTCATGTCTTTCCAAACCACTAATCTCAACGCAGCCAATTGGTTGACTTCGTAGTCGCCGATGGACAAAGTGACTGGACGCCTGTGAAGAACAGCCGCATTTGCTCACTTAAATTTTCGCCGAGCTGCCACAGTGTAAATCCTGTGTCGGCGAACCTGTTTGGTTTCACTGGCAGTAAGACTCTATGTGGCCCCTTCTTGAGGCCGGGGCTAAAGGGAGAGGAAAGAACGAGTTGGCGCTACTCAACATAGCCGACGAAAAACTCGTGGAGGTGCTTAGTCTACATTAGCAGAGACACAACTGGAATGGCTGCGCGTGCGCTCCCAGCAGACGAAATGCTAGTGTGCGTGACGTCACCATTTTTAGTGGAGACAACATCAGCTGTGCAGCTGCCTCGACGTGGCCGCGAGGTAGCGCTGACAGCACTGCAATTTGGTGGGCTTTCGACCCATTTTGAACTACGATCAATAACGTATATATTAATCACTAATACAGATATTCATACGTACCTCAGAGACGTTTTAGGTTGCGAATCGCTACTAGCGGGTCGGTAGCTACTCGTTCATGCAAACATCTTGACAGGAGTATATTTGATGTCACCACTCTTTTAAAAGGCTTCGCGCCTAAAATAATTCCTGTCATATGAAAGGCTCATGCGATCACATAGGCTATCGTGTGAAGCAGATGTCGTCGAAGAAGGTAGCAAGCAGCTGGTGTATTCTCATAACAAGCATCAAGAGGTGCTAGGGTATAGGGGAATGCTGTGGCGCTCACAGGTCTTAGCCATTGTTGACGCACGGCTATATCAGCAGGCATAGAGTATGACTTCTAAACTGGCGGTTCTTTTGACACCGACTGAGCACTGAGGCTACTGATATTGATCCGAATAATCTTTGTAGGACCAACGGTCATGCCTGCAGCTAGGCTGTCAGAGTTTGAGGAACATCTTTCGAGGTCCATGGTGATAGTTCTGGCATGATGTACTATTGTGAGCAATATGAGTTCCAACTCGCGAGTAGTCGAGAATAGCCTCGAACTTTACATGTGCTGATTCGCAGCGGCCGCTCACAAAATCAAAGTCCAAAGGGTGGCGCACTTTCCCTTGCTGTTGACATTCCTGTTTCGATAATGTTGCTGCAAAATGCAGCCCGAAGCATGTTTGTGGGTGTTAGTGGCGACATGGCCTCACATCGACGCGCACAGCCAAAACCAATTAGGCTGTGCAGCTACAAGAATATTCTGCGCTCATCGCGTTCTCGTGTTGGTTTCGCTTGATCTACATATACCTAACTTGGTATTACGTGACACGAATGCACGAAGAACACAAATGCCAGGCGCAAACATTATAATAATGACATGGAAGTGGTACATGACTCAATTTACGTCCGCCTTGCAACATTGTGCTGGTTTTAAAGTAACATATCAACCTTCCTTTTTCGTTTTTCACATATCATCGATTCCGATAGTACGTGGGGTATGTCAATTCTTCAATCTCTTTTTCTGGTTAGCTATGATTTTTATACCACAAACTTTCTTATATCTTCTCTTCCCTTCATTTAAATTTTAGAGGTCTATATTGCGCTATTCTTTATGCTAGGCCTGACGATAACGCAATTGCATTAAACTTCTCCTTAAATTCTAGCTAGGGCGTATGTCACAGGAAAACCTAATGCGCAAATAAAATAAAAATTGCCGGCTCTGAAATAGGGTCCCACCCAGACCGTTTGCTTGACAAGCAGGTGTCCCACAACAACGCCACGCGTCTGCTGATAGATAAACTGTAAACTACTTCTTGTCCTCACAAATGCCATGAAAATAACAGCCATGATTCACAAAAAACGGGCACCTTGTATACAGTTCTCACCATAGAAGATATAATATCACCATATTAATAAATGCGAAGAATTTCTTGGCGAACCTCGGCGACTTTGAACGCATCTATCTATCTATCTATCTATCTATCTATCTATCTATCTATCTATCTATCTATCTATCTATCTATCTATCTATCTATCTATCTATCTATCTATCTATCTATCTATCTATCTATCTATCTATCTATCTATCTATCTACCTATCTATCTATCTATCGATCTATTTATCTATCTATCTATCTATCTATCTATCTATGTATCTATCTATCTATCTATCTATCTATCTATCTATCTATCTATCTATCTATCTATCTAGCCAACTACGACTTTTAGCTTTCCTGGCTGTTTGGATAATGGTATCGATACCAAACCTGGTATGATGTAACATGACTGTATGAAGAACACAACCGGCTAGCCATAACATGAACATCATGACATGTATGTGAAAAATTTCATGACTTACAAGTCAAGGTCATGCTGCCCTTACGGTCATTTCACTCACATATGTTGCAAAACTGGCATAGTATGACATCACTGCATGGCGAACACAAGCGGCAGATCCTAACATCAAAATCCCGACATGCGTGTCATGCAAAAACATGACTACATGCCACACTCATGATGTTCTCGTGGCCGTTTCGCTAGCTTTGCATA